CTGTGGAAAGTGGGTGTAGCACGTCATCGCCGCCACGCTCCGCGCGCACCCGCGCATCGGATGGTAGGACTCCTGGACCACTCGCTCTCTTGGCACCAGTCGTGCCGACAAGCTGCAATTAGGGGGGGGTCATGTTCCCAGCTTTGCTACCAGAGGGGGTGATGGGGGGGTCAATGGGAGAAAGGGGGATGCACGAAAAGGGGCATGGTGAAGGGGAGGAAGGAGGAGGGAAGGGGGCTGAATGGGGGGAAGAGGAGGGAAGGGAAAAAGGGGAAGGGGGGGGGAAAGGGGAAGTCGAGCCATTGAATTTTGTTCCAGATAATGTCGGCGCTGCCAGAAACACATCGTAGGCCCAGAAATTTCGAAACAACGAAGTCAAGTGTCTGTTTGTCCTGCGCCGCAGGGGAAGGCATTTTGCTGTCCACCCTCGTCCGCGCACAGATGACCATTCCAATCCTTTCATGACGGGAACCGTGCAACCTGAGGAAAGTGAGCCGATTGGTCTGGTCTCGGCGCTGGAGATCAATGTCAAAGCGTGGGGGCGAGAAAATCCAGGGGCAGGAGGAGGGAATCATTAGGCAGAGGACGAGATGGAGGAGAAACTGGACGAGGAGGGAACCACCACTTGCCCCCCCCCCCCCCCTGCGCTCCACATAACTCCTCTTGCGCGCGGCGTCCTCTGCGGGCTGCGGATGGTCCCATGGCTCGATGCCCAAGCCAGACCTGCCCCTGCCGCTGCGCCGCCGGCGTCACGCGCGACCCAGAGCGTTGCATATGGCATAGCATGAGCGGCGAGGGCACTATCCCGAAGTGCGGGGGGACGGGGGGGAAGAGAGCGAAATACAGTGACTCCGTGGTACCCTCGATGAAGCCTAATAGCGGTACGATGGCGGTTCAAAGGGGGGGGGAGGAAGGCGACGATGATGCCTTTTTTACTGGCGGCGGTTCCAGGGGTTCTGGCTGAGGGCCTCTGCCACTCCCAGGAACTTGATGCCCCATGGTGGTGGGTGGGTTGTTCAATAGCGGCCGAGCGCCTGAGCCAACATGGCAACAGACGCCGGCTGGTTAAGGGGGATTTACTTGCGTGTGCACGGAGGATATTTACTCGATGAGCCCAAATATGGGTGCGATGGCGATAACAAAGGGGAGGGGGGTGACGATGACGCCCTTTTCACTGGTGGCGGCTCAGGGGGTCCTGGCCCAGGGCCCCTGCCACTCCCAGGATCTTGATGCCCCAGGCTGGCGGGTGGATTGTTCAGAAGTTTAGAAACGGCCGAGCGCCTGAACCCAATTGGCAACAGATGTCGGGCGGTTAAAGTGAATACACTATGCGTAAAGTGAATACACTATGCGTTGAACACGGAAGCGCATCCTCGATGAACCCAAATAGCGGTGCGATGGCGGTAAGGTAAAACGGGGGAGGGAGGCGACGATGATGCTCTTTTTGGTGGTGGCCGTTCTGGGGGCCCTGGCTCAGGGCCCATGTCACTCCCAGGAACTTGGTGCCCCCCATGCGGTGGGAGCGGGACACACAGCAAGGGGAGCAGACCCGGAAGTGAGGAGGCGGAACCCTCCCCGGATGCTGCGAGCGTCGGGGGCCCAATCAACCTTCGTGGACCCCTCCCGCCCCGGGCAGGCGGCCAGAGCTAGCGGGAGTCCCCAGGTCGAGGGAGGAGGCCTCCCTCACCTCGCTCCTTCTTTCCCCCATTTCTCATGGCACCACCTCCGCAGCCCGTGTCGCGCCGCACGCGTGCGCGAGGGCAGCGAGTTCGCGGTCCCGAAGCCCTGCTCATCCGCCGTAAGGCCGCCCGCGGCGGAAGGATGGGGGTCACAGGCAGGAAGGGGGCCCCCGCCGCGGAGGCGCCCACCTGAGGGCGGGGGTTCAAGACGATCCCGGAGGCACGCCAGGATGCCGCTCGGAGTCCCGCTCGGGGGCCGCCGCCGAACACCGAACGGGACACGTCCCAAGGCGAGCGGTCGACGTCCCTTGGGCGGAAGTATTTCGAACGGCCGATGCCCTGGGCCGACCGCGCGGCCCCAGCGATGGCCGCCGCGCTGCGCTGGAGCGCTGGCGCCACCGCCTCCGCTGGGCTGCCCGCGGCGTTGGGCCCCCGCCCAGCGGCCGGCCCCACCCCGGCTTCGCCCCAGTGCCTGATCCCCGGCCGCCGCCCGCCGCCGCTGCGCGGGCCGCCGCTGGACCCCCTGCGCAAAGAGCGCCCGCGGCGCCCGCTCTCTGGGCGCCGTGTCCCTCTTGGTGCGGGAGACTGCCACCGCGGAGGGGGACTACGCGTATGATAACGTTGATCATCTAGCCGCTGCGGGCTTCATGAGGCTCGATGACGCGGTCTCTCTGGTGGCTGCGCCAGAACCTTGGGGGCCGACAGCTGCCAAACTCGTTCGGGGAGTCGAGCAGGCGCCAGAATCCCGCGGGGAAAAATCCTCGCCGCCGGAGGCGACGCTACAGCACCCCGTGGCGACCCCGCCACCGGGAGCCACCTACGAGTACTACGCGGGCCACGTACTACTACGAGGGCGAGCCGGCGACCCCCGCGCCGCGGATCGAGGTCCGTCGCGACGGCAGCCTGGCCGACTTCACCATCGAGGACGGAGAGGACGACGCCGAGGAGGATGACGGGGAGGAGGAGAGCTTCGAGGAAATTGGGGAGCTGCCTTGCGCAGGCCCCCTCGCCCCAGTGCCCACTGCCGCCAGGTGGTGGCCCGCCTGGGGAGCCGCCCCCCCCCCCCTGCCCGCGCCTGTCGCCGCCGCCGCCGCCGCCTGGGCTGGTTGGGCGCCCGCCTAGCTGCGGGCCCGCCTGACTGCGGGCCCGCCTGGGCCGCGCTGCAGCCGCCGCCAACCTGGCGGCAGGCCTCCTCGTGGCCCCCCTTCGCCAGGCCTGGGCCATCGCGTTCGGGGAGTGCGCTCGGTCCGCGATCCTGGGATGCCTGTATCGGGGGAATTGGGATCTTTCGATCGCGATCGATAATCTTCGGCCCACTCCGGGCCTGCGCTGGATAGCTGCCGCCGACGCCGCCCGGGCCCCCCGGGCCCGCCGCCCCCGCCGCCGCTGCCGGTCGATGGCGGCCTGTGGACAACGCGAGGTGCAGCGAGATTCGGGCCCGCGGCGCCAACGGCCACCCGCGGCACCTCGTCTTCGTTGTGGAATGCCAGGCGGCCAAGGACAGCTGAGGATCGCGAGCAAGTTCACCGGCACGGGCATCGGGCCTCATACTACGAGACGGTCTGGGGGTCCACTTCGGGGCGCTCGCGCCGGCACCTGGAAAACGCCCCGACGAACGAGCTGCACCTGTGCCGCGAGTCGCCCCGCTGAGGCCTTGGCGACTACGCCTTGCACCTGGGCGCCTACAACCACCTGGAGGCCAGCAGCTCGGCTCGGTGGCGCGTGGCGCCTGCCGCCTCCTGGGGGCGGCTGGGCGGCTGCTGGGAGTCTGCGGCAGCGCAGGGCGCCGGGGCGCACGCTGCTGCAGCTGGCGCTGCTGCCCCCCGCCGACGCGGGCCGCCGCCGCCGCCTGAGATCGCCGCGCGCGGAGACCTCTCGGAGACGGAGAGGGAGCCCGAGAAGCGCATGTGCTGCGCGGACCAGATCCTCTACGCCCACGACGGGCGGGCGCAGCAGTTGGCGCTGTGCAAGGTCCGGGATCCAGCCTCGCGAGATGCTGCCCCGCTGCTGGCTGAGGACGCCGATCTCTCGGGCATGCGGGAGCCGCCTGAGGCGCCACAAGCCCGCCTGCGCCACGGCCGCGCGTGCCGGCACCGCACCGCGCGCTTGGAGAAGCGCCGCTGAGCGCGCGACGGCGCCGACCGCGCCGCCGCAGCCCTGGGCCAGGCTCAGGGTCCGCCGATGCCGCCTCCGCCTGAGCCCTCCCCGGGGTTCGGTGCGCGCCCGGCGACTCGGGCCCGGGACCCCGCCCGGGACGCCGCGGTCTGAGATCCGCGGCCGTCGAGCTGAGTGACATCCACCCCCTCGCAGCGGAGCAGGGCATTGACCACCTGTCGCTGGTCGCGAGCATGGAAGACGAGACGATCCATCACGCGTTTGGCGCCACCCCCGTCGCCGCCTATCGCTCCCGCCCGGGCTGGGACAGCTGGCGGAACGCGGCCCTCGACTGGATCGTGGAGGTCGCGAGGTGAGCCCGCTCTCCGGCAGCAGCGGCCACGGGGCGGGTCACCCCGCGGAGCGGCGCGAGCCGCCGTGCAGTGACGACCTGACCGACCTGCTCCGAGATCGCAAGCCGGAGCCCGACGCTCTAGACCGAGACGCCTTGCGGGCTCTCCTCACAGACGAGGCCCGTCGCCGACTGCCAGGGCCTGCTGCCCTCGCTAGGGAGCTCCTGGAGGAGTGGCGCCCGCAGAGCACAGACATCGACGCCGCAGTGCAACTCCAGTACAAGTACGGCTTCGACGACCTGGGAGCAGCGTCCGACGCGATCGCGGACGCGTTGCTGTACCTGGCAGGCCCGGAGGGCCCCGCGCCTCTCCCCGACGCCGAGTTCAAGGCGCCGCGCGTCATCGCGCGCTCTCTTTGGGAGCGGGAGGCGCCCGCTCCGCCGCCCGCGCCTGCCGATGACGCCGCCCCGCGGCGATCCAGGACGCCCACTCCGAGCGCCCCCGCGCGGGGCACGCGGGCGCCCTCGCCCACGATGGGACCGCGTCAGCGCACCCCGGGGGGGCCACGGCCTCCGCGGGCGGTCGCGCTCGAGGAGTGGGCCACCCGACCACGAGGCAGACAAGCCGCCATCGTTCGGAGGGGACGACTGCAGGCCCCCGCGCCACCAAGGCTCGGCAGCCAGGCGGCTGCGGCGGGGCCGAGCCCTTTCCGCGTCGAGGCCCCCGCCTTAGCGCCAGCGAGCCGGACGCTGGCGCCCCGCCCCGCTCCTGCGCGGCCACCCGATCGGCTTCGCCAGCCGCCAGTTCGGCCTGGCCCAGCCAGGGCCCAGGGGGCTGGCATCAGCGGCCGTCGGCTCGGCCGCCCCCCCCCCCAGCCCGGACGCCCACGCGCGGGGGTGGGGGGCCCTACGCGGCCAGCAGCCACTTCGACGGCGCCCAGCGGACAGCCGGAGATGATGGCCTGGGTTTGGGTTACATGGCGTGCCAAGTACATGTTGGCGCCTCCCTCCAATGTCGGCCATCGTGGAACTTTCGAGTCACGCCTGCTCAGACTGCGGTTCTCCCTGCTTCGACATCGACGGGGGGAGACATGGAAGGGGGCGAAAGGGGGCGACCTTGAAGGCGGGCGTCAACCATTTTTGAGGTTAACGTTGTCAAGGGTTTGTATAGCCGATGTTGTTGCCGTCTCGGGGCCTTCTTAGGCAGTTTGGGGGATCCTGGTGGCCAACTCAAGAATCCCAACTCGTCCAAAACCCTGATCAATTTGAATCGCTTTGCCGTTATAGCTTCTTCTGTGTTAGGAGCGCCCAAGACAGCCCAAGAGGCCACAAATATCGCCCAAAGACAGCCTCAAAGACTTGCCACGGCCCCCAAGGACCCAAGAGAAGCTCAAGAGGCCTCCAAGACAGTCCCAAGAGGGGACGCCGAGAAAGCTGTTGGGACTCCGCTCTTAATGTAGCCCAAGACGCCAAGGACGCCTGATAAAGGCCCCCATCCAGAGGTCCCCAAGGCGCACCCCAGAGGTCTCTCAAAAGGTCTCCCGAAGAAACCTCCTAGATGCCCAGAAGAATGCAGCACAGCAGACCATATTAGACCAGACCAGCGCGGGCAGACGGCAGGCGAGACCAGAGAAACTGGACACGAAGATGGTTGGGAATGCACTGCAGCCTTCAGTTGTGTCAGTTGCGCGAGGCCCCGACTCGCCTCGTAGAGGTCAAGAGGGTGGAGCGAAAGAGGCGGGGGAGGAAGGGGGCGGCATCCCACATCCCTGCGCGACAAGTGGTAGAAGTACATCTTCGTGGCTATCCTGTCCTGCAAGGCGACGGCATCCTTCAGGCGGCGGGCTCTGCTCAAGAGGTGTTCTCTGGTGCTTGCCAACATGGATCGCGATAGGGTCGATAGGGAGGGGTACAGGGAAGGAAGACAGCGAGTACGTAGGGAGGGGAGACGCAAGGGGCCTGGGGATCCGATTCGGACTGCTGCGGGTGGTTATGGTTGCGGTGGAGGGTAGGAGCAGTCAGAGCGGCTAGGCCGCGGGTTACGCTCATAAGGCCAGGGTAAAGGCTCCAGTCAGCAAAAGGTTGAGGCTCGGGCTTGTATGGCAGCACGGCAAGATAGGAAATGATACGTTGGGTCAAGATCAGACTTGGTGCCATGCCAGAATATATGTTCGCACCAGGGCTTCAATTTGAAATATGTTTAAGATACGGCTCGGATCATAATCTTGATTCGGATTTAACTGAACATGCTTCAGGTCGATTTGGGGGTAGGGCGTGGGTTGTGCCTAAGGTTTAAAGTACTGTTCTAAAGATGATTGGGGTGTGGGTACGGGGTGGGTGCAATATGGCCAGTCTACGGCGCGTCAAGTTCTGGGGATAGTTTACTGTCAGTCTTGGGGGTCATATCACGGGGCCATGGTACAGTCAGACGTCGGATTACGATAAGGAAGTTGCGCGCTCTGGCTATGTAGGGTTCAGGTCGGGGCTGCGATTGCGTTTAGGGTGAAGGCTGCATTCACTTCGCTCGGACTATGGTTCTAATAAAGGGTTGGGTCAACGGCGGGGATCGGGTGGGAGAAATGGGTCGGGGGTATGCGTAGGAGCGGTATCGGGCTGTCTCGGGGCCGTCGTGAGGGTCCCAGGAAGCCTCTTGGAAGCCTCTCTGCTATTGGAAAGAGGGCAGCCGCCTCAGATATGCTGTACAGTTTTGGGCCTGGGCGTCTGCGATGCCTCTTCAAGGCCTGTTGGGGTCTCTCGACTGTCGGGGGGCCTGCTGGCGCCTCTGGCACTTCTTAGGGCCATCTTGGGCCGCCTTGGGTCGCTCGCACGCCGTATTGGGGCCTTCTCGGGGCTTCTCGCAGGAGTGGGGGGCCTGTCCTGAGGCTATCCTGGCAGGCCTCTGCCACTTCGAGGCCTCGTTGGGTCAGTATGGGAATCTGGTGTGGCTTTGTTGTAGTTCCGATGGTCATCTTGGGGGTCCTGGAACTGTCACGGGGTGTCCTGGGGCTGTTGTAAACGAATCTTGGGGTCATCTGGGGTGTTTAGTACGGGCCGAATTGGTGCCGCCTTGGGGCAATCCTCTTCGAAGCAGTCTGGTACGACCCGTAAGCCGTGTGAAGCTCTTCTGATAGGGATGCAATACGAATGATGCCAACGAATGACAACACAACACTTCACTCGTCCGTTAAGCGTGGAACCCCATGCGTGTGGCCCCCGCCTGGGTGAGGAACCCGATGCGTGCGGAAGCCCATGCATGTGGTACCCCATGCCCATGCGTGTGGAACCCCATGCCGCCCACTGCACGCGCAGCCAGCGTCAGTGCCGCTAGCCAAACGCTGGCGGGGGGGGCGCGAAGCTATGTGAACACATGAGAACTCAGTCCAATTGGAATTGCAAATTCGGGGGGGGGGCTTTGGGAAGCCTCTCGAGGGCCGCTCGCTAACCTGTCAATGTCAAACCTTCCTGGGGCGTCTTCGGTCTGTCCAGGTGGATCGTACATCGTCGTGAGCCATCTCGAGGCCGTGACGGTTCGGACAACTCAACATCTGGATGGGGAGGATGGGGTCGTTCTGGGTGGGTGGGGCGACTGCGGGGAGGGCAAACCGCTTAAATATGACAGTGCCTCACCAACCATCTTGCCACCATATCCTCCTCTTCTCGAACAGTTCGGCGCTTCGGAATGCGCAAACCTCGTCAGGCCAGCGCGCACCCCCTCCCGTGCCGTGTGTGTTCCTCCCTTTCTCTCGAGCTCGAGCGGTGTCCGTGGAGGGCCGCGCTCAAGGGCCACAGCCTTGGGTTGGCCAGCATTCGTGTATGTGCGAAGCTGGTGACACACCATTGTCTCCTTCCCGCTCCTCATCCCCCCTCTGCCCCCCCATCCATATCCCATCAATGCCTTTACCAATGCTCGCCCTGATTATTACGTCCCCCCACCAGCCTGAAGCGGATTGGCATACGTGGGCAGCATGTCTTTGTCGAAATACTTTCCCGACTGGATGTCCTGCCGAGATGCACGAACCTTTCCCCCAAAGCATTCGTCGCACGTACTTGATCACAAGCTGGTCGCTGGTCACCCCGTGTAAGAGATCAACTGTTCCAGACGTCCACTCAGGAATGAGCACGATCATTAGGAAGAGTCATTCAGGTAGGAGCTTGGCAAGGCATGGCCATGTTTTGGAACATCACGCGTGACAACGAACCATATGTAGTGCATGATGCTATGCGTGACGGTGTGGCAAGTTAAGAAAGCACGGTGCAGCGACCCAGGCTGTAATGCAGCGTATCTTCATGAAAGAAAAGCGGGGGCAGACTGCTTAGCGAAGGTTGAGGTAAGGCAGGGTCAGGAGTCATGAGCCAGGCACATACTTTTGGGAGAGGAGGAGGGATCGCGACCACAAAACTGTTCACCCGGCTCGGCTTCGACCGCTGTGCGAATGAAGGTCACCAAACAAACCAGGAATACGACACAAGCCGACATACGATAGGTAAGCTCATGTACTGAACCATGGCCTGAAAGATGAGCAAGCGTGCCGCGTGCCGCAATGCAGGAAACGAATTAGGATGCGTACGAAACTCGTTCTACGAACGCACGCCATAACGCGAGCATAGATCCCGCTACGCAACGCCCTCCAATAGTAGGGTAAATGACCAATTGCACAAATACCACCCTTCCTCCCCCTCATCATCCTTACACTCCTCCTCGACCTCAAACGAACTCTCTCCTTCCTCCTCGTCGCGCGTATCCTAGTACCGTTCCTCCTCCCCCTTCCCCACCTCCTCCAGAACTGGGGCAGGCAGCTGAACTTGCACCGCATCAGTTCGAGTGCTGCGCACATAGGTTAGGCAGATCCAGGCGATCTCGCCGAAAGTTCTGCAGGCGACCTCAGCCACACTGGCACACAAAATCCCATGAACCTTCGATGGGTTTCGCCCGAAGCTCTTTGCCCAAATTCAAAAATCATCGGGCAATCATCCGAAGCAGCCGCTGCGACAGGACAGGGGACACGGATAACACTAAGATTCTGTCATTTTGGCTGAGTTTGGCGACAACGTGAGTCGCGCGACAATGCGAAACCGAGCAGATGAAACCGAGCTTGCAACTCGGACCTCGCGATTCCTGTGCTTCATCGGCTGCTCAAACAATGATTGCCACATTGGTTGTTTCGCATGGCATTTGGACATCGCGCCCATCTCGCGGCATAGCTGCTGACCGTTGACTTGACCCACATCCGGTTCAGGTCTACACACTTGCCCGTCTGAAAGTTGGCAGTCACGCCATCCGGCGCTTCCCCTTGCCCTGTTCGTGGCGACCTCCATGCAAGCAATGTCCCCACACGGCCAGATCATATTATGGCTGTTGCCATGAAACGTGCTGCGGATCGCAAGCCAGCTATGGAGATGGAGGTGGTCTTTCACATACCAAGTCAGGGGTCGGCGCGCTTAAAAGCCTGACACGCTGCCATCCCCTTCGCCTGTGGTCCAGCCTCCAGGGCGTGAGGCAAGACCCATCCTCCTCCCTCTCCCGCTCAACCCCTCTCTGAAGTGGCCGTTTGCTCGAGGCATCCGCCGCCGCCAGCGCGGCCATCCCTCGCGCCTGCGGACCCCTCCTGTTGTCTGGGAGGCCAGGTGGCATCGGCGCTGGCGGCGGCGATCGGCGTGCCTGGAGAGGCCCGATGACACCAGGGTGCCCCAGCGCCGCTGCCCCGAGCACTCATGGATGCAGAGAAGAAGCATCACAAGAAAGACAAGGAGGGCAAGACGGGCAACGAACCCAAGAAGCACGATTGATGGTGCAGAAGGTTGCCTGTTTGCCCTGCTGTGCGCCAGCTGGTGGCTAGCTTCGAGCGCGCCCGCTGTGCCGACGAGGACCTCTTTGACGCGGAGCCCAGCACCGAGCCACACGGCGACCTCAACACGTTCGAACCCAATCCTGAGAAGTACCATACATAGTAGTTGCAGTCCTATGGCGTCGTTTTCAACCTGAATGCGATGGATTTCCAGCGGGGTGAGGTCATGCCGCTGGTGTTCCAGCAGGAGCTTATCGTCGGAGCTACACGCAGAGATTTCCAGGAGGAGTCTAATAGGAAAGTCGACACTGAAAACAGTAATTAGGGATCGAGGTCATGGATTCAGGAATCCACGCTGTGAGCGACCACCACAATGGTGTTAACCCGTCTGGCGGGGCCAAAGATGAGTCCAAACAACATGAATCCAAACATACATTCAAACGCAAGTCACTTACCTTATTTTCTGGGCCGGCTCCACGGACGAACTCAGCCATGCCGTGAATGATAATGTAGAGTCTGGGGGCGGGATCAGCCCATTCGAATACATTTACGACGAGGCGACGAGCAGCCAGAGGCGGAGTGCTTCCAGCTCAGCAGGCAGCCTCTCGAGGTTGAGCGTGAGGTGGGCGCCGCGCGCGGACGCGTGGCCTTCTTGACATCGAAGATGGCCAGGTCCGCTGGTTCTTCCGACCCCTAGGAATGCAACTACGTAAGCGTACAATGTTGGCATTGTCTGAGGTGGGCTGGCAACCTCGCCAGGACCAGCCCAGCTGCATACAACTCGCACAGCGGGATGTCTGCTTCGGAGCTTCGATCTATCCCCCCAGAAGTTCAACCATTGGGCGTGCGGCGTGCTGTCGAGCCTGTCTCGTCCTCCACCTGAGGCTGCTGGCCGCTGCTGAAGCAAAGAAGCAAGCAAACTCCTTTCCCTCACCTGCCCCTCTACGTCCTGATGTTCCTCTTGCTGTTGTCCCTCTTCATCCTCCTCCTCCTCCTCCTTGTCCTCTTCCGTTTCCCCATTCCCCTACCTTTCCAACTGATCCTCTCTTTCTGCTTATTCCTCCACCTCCCCATCCTACTTCCATTCTCCCTTGGGCGGCCTTCACGGCAGCCTCGATTTTGTCCTTCACGGAACTGCTAATATTCGGCACCGCAACATCATAGTTCACGAACGGCTTACCTGATCCCCAGCAATGTCTGACATTCATTCCTTGCCTCCTCCTCAGATCTCTCGAGACGATGTTCCTCAAGCTTCACTCTCCCTCAATTGAGAAGGTTTCGTGGCTGAAGCCCTCCTTCAATCTACGCCCATAAGCGGCGTTCATCGACAGCGCAACGACTGTCCCAGCGAATGGATCTTTTGTTGAGGGGTCACACTGTTTGAAGCGGCCTGAGATAGGTCCCAGATAAGGGAGCGTCCCGATATGGCTGCTTCATGGCGTAAACATGTTGGGATAATCATATGACAACGAACTTAAGCACGACTCGGGCAAAACACTGCAGGCCGCTGCAAGGAGGCCTTATATGGGGCACTCAAAGGCAGACAAATGAACATTACTCCATGCTGCGGAAGAAACTGAAGATTGACAAATCACCCCGGACAACCCTCCGACCAGCCCCGGCCAACCATCTGCCCAACCCTGGACAACCCTGTGTTGGGCAATTCTTTCCTCAAGGTATAACTCGCCATCGCTCGGACCTCCATTCCCCGTGCAGGTTTCGGGTTCGTGCGTGTACTTTGTCGCAAAATGACCCACAAGGATCCCCGATGGTCCTCGCAAAGAAAATTGCACGCATCCGACTGGTGCATTGCAAACAGACCAAGGCATTCACGCTCACCGTGCCTTCCGTTTAGCTATTTCCTTGGCGACTGGCCAGAGTTGTGTTGCTGCTAACTGAAGCACGTGCATTATGAATCTGGACCTGGACAAAAGAAATGCTGTGGTGCTTCCCCGGACTTGGCTTCCACTGGTGTCCCCCCACGAGCCGACACCCGAGATACCTGGTGACTCTCCCAACGGTTGCCGAAGGACCTTCAACATAGCGTATAAATACATTGCTTTGCATAGCATTTGTTTACTGTCAATTTGCGATTGGGCTCTCTTCGGAATGCCGTTTCGCTTGCCTGTTTGGCTGGCTAAGGCTAACTGAGGCTTCATGCTTGGTTGCGTCCGTACCAGTATGTTGGGATCACCTTCTGCATATTTCCAGCGTGCATTTCAGCCAGATGTTCGCTTGCTGCGCGGTTTGCCTACACGGTGCTGGTTCAGACTTGTCGTGTCAGTCGGTCAGGTTGCTCGGCCTGCGTTGTAATTGCCTGCGCGCAGCGCGTGCATTTAGCTTGTCATGGGATTGCTCTTCGCCTGCTTCAGCTGAACAGCACTCTAGGCTTGTCCAGCCGCCCCTCACCTCTTGCAGGTTCAACTGTTTGGGAGCAGCAGATCTAAAAAAGTGTTCCGAACAAGTTGGGCGCGCACCCTTTGAAATCAAGATCGTGGCAACTCGTCTTCTAAAACCAACGGTGTCCGAGGCTGTGCGCCTCTGCGGCGCGAACACCACGACGTATAGTAACGCGCGACGGCGGGATTAGTACCTGTTCGAGCATATGATATGGCGGGATTGTTGAGACTGAGTGACAAAACAGCTTGCGACTGCGTCATCTCCACTGGGAGTGGAAATATCCTGCGGACTGCCTCTTGACTTGTCGGCGCGCCAACGTACAGCTACGTGACAGAAATTCATGAAGCCCGACACGCTGTCCAAACTGTATTTCTTCCACTCCTGGACCTCCAGCTTCGGGAGTTCCTGCGCTGTGGTGACGGGGGCGGGATAGTTGGGGAAGGAAACGGGGGATACGGATGGGCGGGAGACGGAAGAGGAGAAACAGTAGGAATAATAATGGAGAGGATGAGGGGAAGAACCCGACAAGGATGTCGCCAAGAAGGTCAAACAGGCATACAGACTACGAGGCCAAGACTGCGCCAAGTTCGGCGGCTTGTCGGCCACAGGAAAAAATAAAGGTAGACAGACAGCCCGCAGAGGTGCCATGAACGCCCCTACACCTCCGGCCTTACGCCGGGCTGTGGAAAACTCTGCGTCGCTATCAAGCGCCACTCCAATATTTGGGCTGCCCGCCTGGCGTTCTCGACGCCCCTTGGTGCGAGGGCGGGGGGGGGGGGAACTTGAAGCTGGGGTCACCCTTTTGTTTTTTCGCGTCCCCCGCAGCGCGCCCTTTCAATTCTGCCCAACTACATCTCGGACTCCCATTGTCGTAGAAACGGGACTCCGTGCCCTATGCATCTCGCGCTCGGCGGTCGCGGGAAATTGTTTGTGAGCATCGCAACCTTCCCCATGCGCACCATTAAACAATAATTTCTCGCCTTTGTCTCCTGTCCACGATCGCTCTGGCCACGTGCCTCTTGCTTGTGCACAGCAAGAAGACGTCGTCCGAAAAGCGGAGATTCTTGATGGGTGGGTCGGGCGAATCGATGAGGATTCCGTAGCGCGGCCACGTGCGGCGCACGTTCAGGCTCTCACATCACGGCCACGAGCAAAAAGGAGCTGATAGGGTCGCCCCGCTCGGCCCCGCGTGAAATGCCAAACTGCCTGCTACTTGTTCTGGCCATCGCTGCGGCCCCCTGATTCGCGTAGAATATCTTCACGGCGTTGTTGTAAGAGCGAGGGGCGCTCGGCTCGTGTAGTGCCGCCCACAGCGCGTCGTGCCCCCCAGTGTCGAAGCTTTCTCAAAGTCCACCATGCCGACCCAACACTCCACGTTGTAGTCCCTGCTGCCCTCGAGCAATTAAATCGCGTGTAGCAAGTGCTGCAGCGTGCTGACTGACGCCCTGTCTGTATGCTGTCCGGTCGAACGACTGCCCACGAGCAGTGGCACCGCGCTTCAGCAGAGTATCCGGCTGAACAACCTGTGTAATATTGAAAAGATTGCGGTCGGGTGGTAGTTCAAAGGCAGCGCGGGTTCTTCTCTCTTGCGCAGGACAGTAATTCGAGATGACAACTACTATTTCGGGATACCGTGCGATGGATTCAATATTGCGTTAAAGGTACCAATCCCGCGGCACGCGACACTCAACCTTCAACATGCCCGCGCATATCTGGGAATTGCCCCCAGACCGACCATTCTTCATCTGCTGGAATCGTCTAGCTCGTCGGGGGTAGGATCTGGCACTCAGTCGTGCCCAACTGTCTCGTGCAATTTGTCCCTGCTTCCTGCGCTCGATACGCTCTCGTAGATGTATGCGAAGACCTCCGCAATGCCTTGTTTGTCACTTGCATACTCCCGCGCTGCCCATCGATCTCAGAAGTGCGATGTTGCTCGCCCTCGCCAATCAGATTGGTCGGCCTCATGATGTTGCGGAACTCGCGGAACGCAGCATCGATCTTGCTGAGGCGCTCAACGGTTCGTCTTTCTCTGATCAGCTTCCGCAAGGCCCGGCCCAGGCCCGCGCGTTCAGTCTTGATCTCTGGAGGCAAACTAGAAGATTAACCGCATGTTCTTTCCTCGATGAATCAACGACTGCATCTGGACGTCCGCGCGGGCGCGCGGGGAGCCGACGAGGAGAGTTTGCGCGCGGCGTGTCTTGCGCACCTTCTCTGGGCGGCATCCCGCGCGCACCGGTCGAGGTGGGCAACTGTTTCAGCTGCGCCGCAGGGTCCCCGATCGACGTCTTCAAAAGTCGCTCGCAACGCAGTGGCATGGGGCGACCCCGGCCCCCAGCGGCCACGTCCGCGTTTCCCCTCCCCGATCCTCCTCGGCGCGCTGGGTCTGAAAGCGCGCTGCAGCCTAAGCTTGCGCCGGCGCGTCAGGACACCGCGCAAGGGCGCAGGCTGAGACCCGCCAAGATGCGGCCACGTCGGGCCCGTCGCCCAGCATTCCGGTCGCGCAAATGCGCCACGCATGACTGCGCCAAAGCCGCGTGGTTGGCCGCGCGCCAGCGGGCGAGCGCGCCCCCGCCCCCCGCCCCTGATCTTCGATTGGCACGGGGTTAGCGCCGACAACCCCCGGATCATCGCATTCATCGCGAGGCCCAATTTCCGCGTTGAAGGTCCCAGCGGGCGCAATCTAATTTTCCGTCGCGTCGGACTGTCCCGCGCGCAAGATGGGAAGGGTCAGCGGCGGGCGGCCGGGGGGGGGGCGCCCTCGCGCGGCGGCGCCGCAGGGGGCGCGCGGGGCGGCCGGGCTGCGGGGCAGCCCCCGGCAGCGGCGCGGGGCGGCGTCGCGGGCGCGCCCAAGGGGCCCAAGGGTTGGATCGGGTCAGTCCTAGACCTGGGCACGAACCCAACATCTCAAAATCGTGAACGTTTTTTTGAACGCCGGGAAATCTCAAACAAAATCTTGCCGCAAGAAATCTCCCAAACGAATCCCCAACAAGTTCTCCTACGAAATCTTGGGCGACAAAAATCTCGGACCGAATCTCCCCCGAGAACCTGCTGGCCGAGGTTCGCGCCGCGCGCGGCGCGGCGGCGAAGCGCGACTTCGCGGTGGCCGAATCCTTTGACATCGGGGCCATGCTGATTAGAGCTTCGAGCGCCTTGCGAATAAGTGCCTATTGTGGCGCGGATGGGCACTCCCCTACCCTCGATAGAGCGAACGCCTCGGCCGCGACGCTGGGCGGCGCGCGCGTGGGAGAGGAGGACCGATGGACCGATCCCTCTCTCACTATCTGTCGATAGAAACAAGACGGCGGCAATGAGGCGAGGATGCAATGATCTCGAACTCACTGCCAAAGGTATCGCGCGAATGTCAATATCGGTTGGACCGAACGGGGCAGCAGGTATACACGGTGAGATTGGAAGGGGGTTCGCGCGGAGTTCAATCGCAGCGAACCCGGAGATCGGCGCCGCGCCGCCCGCCGACAGCCTTGAAGTTCGACAAGCGCGCTGGCGCGCTTGGCGGCCCCCGCGGGCGCAGGCCTGCAAGCTACTGCGTTGCGGGGATCGCGACCACCATTCCCTGGGCGAGCCGGATTAAGGCGCCACTGCCGGCGCGCGCGCGCAAGAATCGCCCGCGCCCGCGCGTGAGTTATGTAGGACTGGTGTCGCGGTGCATTCGGGGCAAAGGCGTCTCGGGGCGGGGTCGAACAGACCCGCTGCCGTAACGGGCCCTGCCGTGACCAGAAGTCCCCCCCGGCCAAAACCAAAGTAGCCACGGCCGAGAGGGGGAAAAAGAAGGGGACTAGGGGGGGCGATGAAGATGGAACTGAAGAGGGCCCAGAGGCGCAGAAAAAGCGGCCACGGCCCGGCGCGACTCGATCTGTTCGCCGGGCCAGTTTCCAAGGACAGGAGATGCCGATGCGCCGACCTCCCCGCGCAGGGCGGCGCCAGGGCCTAGGAGGCGGACGAGGAAGAGGGAGGGGGGGGTGAGCGAAACGAAAGCTGGGGCCGCAAGGCCCGAAGCGGCCGCCTGGGGGCAATAACGGCCACCCCACGCAGGAAGGCGCCAGGGCCTAAGGCGGGCGAGGAAGAGGGATGGGAGGATGGAAGCGAGGGGTGCGAAGAAGGGGGATGGAGAAGTGGAGGTTTTTGCCCGACAGTCCAAATTTTTGCCTACGCCCCTGGGCCGCTGAGGACATCTCGGTGTTTGGGGCTTCCGCCTTGATCATGGGATGGTCGGGCCGCGCCTCGAATTTTCCACCGACGGCGACGCAGCGATCCCTCGTTGAAGAACTCCGGCGAAGGACCTGCCCAGATGCAGCTGTGAGCGCCGCACTTGTGAGCATCGTCTTCGGTGGAGAACCCTACGCGGCCACGAAACGTGCGATGGGTGCACCGCAGCGTGGGCGCGGCGGCATGCGGGCGCTGCTGGAGTTTCCTGACTTGGCCACCAAACGTATGAGAGGTTCACCAACATAAAATGGGGTATGCTCCCTGTGGGACCACGAACCGAAGCGTGAAATGGTTCCACGCATTAGCGGGGTGGCGGCGCGCGGGCGCTGACAGCGGGGCCTTCGGTATACCCACCACTGGGGGTGCGACGCGCGTGAGGGGCGTGCCAAAGTGGTGCGGGCGGGCGGGTGGGGGGGGGGGGCGTGGCGGCCCGCGGGCCTGCAGCGAGTGCCCGCAGAAGTCCATCTCCATAGTTGGGCAGCCTGCCCCTATAGCCGCCTGGCGGTTGTGAGACGCAATCACCAGGCGCCCCGCAGCGCGATGCAGGTCCTCGACCCAGCCGCGAAGCGCCCTGAAGTCCTTGGCCTGCATTCCGCGATTCGCCCCGAACCTGCCCAGGATGGGCAGCCGCGCCCTTTTCCAGGGGCCGCAGAAGGCGAGCGCGGCCTCCCAGACGCCCCCAGCGGGGCGGGGCCAGGATTGCCACGGGTGTAACAACACCCTGCGCTCGCGGACCAACACGAGCACACTCGCCAACAGGTTCGCGCCCTCAAAAAAGCTGGGGGGCCTCTGGTCGGGCCCGAGGAGTCGGGCGCCTCAATTCTCCCCAACCGCCGGTAGGTTCAACTAGCATGGCCTTCGAATGGCGGTCGGCGGAGGGCTGTCCTGTGCGCCGCTGGATCGGCAGATGAAGTGCTTCAGCGCGCCGGTGGCTGCCATGGCGCGCCGCGGGGGACGGGGGGAGCTGACCCCCCATTGCTGCCACTTCCAGGTCGCCATTCTGTCGCAAGCCCACCTGGTTTAGCGGCAACGCCCACCGCCTTGTTGGACTCTGCGAAGAGGCTCATCGCCCAGCCTGGGGGGGCGCAGGGCGTTCACAAGTCCAGATCAGCTGCGATCGTCGTCGATTTGCCAGTGCCGAGTGGTCCGTGCATCTGGCGCATCGCGCACTTCAACGACTGCGGGGAGTCGCTGTCTGCGCGGCGTTGAGCCAGCGTCTGCTGGCGACGTTCCGGGCACTGGTGCGGCGACGTTCCGGGCACTGGCGCGGGCCAGAGCTAGGGGGGCCCTGCGGACGTTGTGCCCAGGACACGCTTCCACCGCGTGCTCGTCGCCGGGCCGAGATGCGCCGGGCGGGGCGGCGGCCGCCTGTGCCCCGTCGAAATCGTCTGGGTGTGCCATTGCCACTGCCAGGGTGGCTGCTGCCTGCCTCAACGCCCCCCCCGCCGCCCCAAGCCGCCGAAGATGGCGGTCTCGTCGCTGCCAATCGCGCGAGCGCAGGGCCGGGGTGCCTGCGGTGGCGGGGGGCGAAGTGCCACAGGGGGCCCCCTGACCAGCCTGCAGCATGAAGACCTCGTTGACGGCCGCCCAGACTTGGTTCAACTGCACCCGCGGGGGGGGGGCGCGGCCTACGCGATGCCAGGCGTCGCCGGGCCCGCTGGGTCTTCCGGCAGCGGTGTTCTCAGGGTGGAATGCCCCCCACCTGGAGCCACGCCTGGCAATCGTGGTCTTGGCGGAGTAACGACGAGGCGAATTGCGGCCGAATCTGCTGGGAGTGGTCGCGAAGATTTGCATGGCGGGGGGCCGCGCAACCAGCGTGTCTGCGACGTGGGCAACGACTTGGGGCCTGTGCGAAACGCGGGCGGGCACGCACCCCTCCTGCTCATTGGGCGATTCGATCGTGCATTCGCCTGTCCAGAAGATGCTGTAGCCTTCATCTGTGTCCCGCCTTTGCATCGCCGGGGCCGAGCCGAGCCCGTGCTCGTGCGCTACCCGGGGCGGGCTGTCTGGGTCGTACTTCTCAGCGCCGACGCGTAGCGCGCGCCCGCCGACGCCTGAGAGCCCCCCTGGCCCTGGCACGGCCGTCGTCTGCGCGCTGCAATCGGGCTCGCTGTTTTGTCGTGGAGACCCGGAGCAGCCTTTCCACAGCTTCCCGCGCCATCTTGGGCCGGCGTTCGGGGCGCGGCGCCAGGGATGGGCGCAGCGGGGCGTCCTGCGCGCTGTCGCAGATGACGTGCCACGGCTTCTGGGAGATCTCACAGGCGAACTTGGCTGCTGTGGCGGCGGGCGAGTCGCTGCTGATGCCGTCGTCGCCCAAGGATTGGCTGCGGGCCACCGCTCGGCAGCGCTGGCGGGGCTGTCTCCGGCAGCATTGCACGCCCCATGGGCTGTCGGCGGCGCGCCAGGGGCCCCGCCAGCGGGGGGCGCGGCATGGGGTCGCGCTGACATTCGCAGGTCCGCGAGGGCGGGGGGGTCGCCCAAGCGCTCGACCCTGGCTAGGGCGTCGCGTCTCTCGGCGGCCTCGGCGGCGCCCCAGGCATTGTCTTCCACGTCGCATAGCTGACCGGATGGCCACGTCGCGTCAATGTTGGCCACGCAGCCCAGGGGCGGGGCCCAGTCGGCGGATGCCCCGCTGGTCGAAAGCGGGTTGGAAATCCAAATCGTCGTCGTCGCAATCCCACCCGTCGTAGACCATCCTGTCCACTACCACAATCCTCAGCGGGGTGACCACGTCCACCCTGGGTGGTGGAACCTGGGTGTCTCCTTCATGCGCCGCCCTTGCGTCGTGGCCCAGAAGTTGCCGCCCTGGCCCCGCGTCGCAGGGTCGGATTTTCCATCCTGTGGCTGCTGACCGACCCGCTTTCGGTGCTCGCGCGCGGTGAAGCGGGCTTTCTCGACGATCGCATTCTGGCGCGGCTCGCAGCACCGCCCCCGCAGGGACTTGAAGCGGGCCCCACGCATCCAGGGCGCCTTCAGGCACTGGATCTGCGGCCCGCCGCCCGGGCCAGCTCGGGGCCCCTCGAGCTTGCACTGGTAGCAAGATAGCCACCGCTTGGAAGGGCCCTTGGCCTGCGAGGGCGCGGCTGCGCTGCGGGGCGCAGATTTCCAGGTTGCCAACTGCTGCGCCGAGACAGGAATGCTGCGCTGGGCGCCGCAGGGCCTCGGCGAACGCCCCGATCGCGATGGAGGCGACGACCAGACGGGGGGGGCAGCGGGAGCGGGCGCGGGCCCTGCGGGCCGTCCGTTGCCACCTGGAAGGTTACCTGCCACTCGTCTCTAACGTCTCCACCAGCGCGTCGATATCGCTGGGGTCAAGGCAGTCGCAGCCCCCACCAGAAACAAAGGCTGGGGCGGGAGGGTGGGAAGGGCGTTTTGCGCGTGCCACGCGGTCCAGGAGCGGGCCGCCAGGTCCCCCGACTGCCGGGGCTGGTCGGCCCAGAAAACACCTTGGGTCGCTAGACGGTCGCACGCCTTGTTGAAAAGTAATTGACAAGTTGTCTGCACGTGAATGCCCAACCTCCGTCGACTAGCGGCCCCATTCCTAGATCCATCTGCGCCGCGCGGGATAAGCGCCGGCGCCGCCCCGCGCGAGCCCCGCGCCGCATGGCGGCCAGGTTGCATCCGTCAACTCGGGCTCCTCGGGCGCAGGGGGATGCGCAGGCCAGCGCGCCGAGCCCCGCGCAGCACCCCGCGGCTTCAGCCAGCTGCGCGTTGTCGGATCCAGGTATGCCGACGACGCAAGAGGCGAGCCGCACTGGCGGTCCCCCGCCCGCTGGGCGGTGCCACTGCGTGGTGCCAGCGCCCGCGTCCATGTCCCAGTCGCCACTGGGCGGATCGCCTCCGTCGAACGTCGAAAGTCACTTCCATCGGCCACTTCGCCCGATCTTGGTAGGGGATAAGGGAGCTTTCTACCACGTCTTCTGCTCAGGCGTCCAAACTGTGATTGGTGCGAAGGGTTTGCCAGTGCTGCCGGCATGTGCGGCAGAAGCGCGCGCCCTACCTAGAGTTGGCGTCCTGTATGGGAGCTCGTGGGTAAGGGAGTCACTCCTGCCCCGCCAGCATCCATCCCATGTAGCTTCGATCGCAACTAACGTGGAGCAGGGTGACATTGGCCGGAGTGGCAGTCCGTGCCACGGGCAGCCTACGGACCTCGCCACCCGCTCTCACTGCGGTTCTGGTTCCGTTAGGCCTTCTGGAGCTGATGAACTGCTGGCCAGGGTCACCCGGTAGGCATTCTGGACAGGCACCGTCGCGCCTGTCCCATACGCCTGGGACGTCGGCCCCACTGTGCGGCAGGGGGTCGTCAAGTTCTGCTTCGTCCAGGCCGACGTCGAACTGGTCAACTACCATTCCCGCCTGGATGATGTTGGCAGCAGTGTCGGTGTCCAGCAGTTCGTGGCTGAGAGCTGCGGATTACATGAGAACCAGTTGGTTGACCACGTGGCCCATACAACGTAGTGGGGCCTGGGGGTCATGGCGGCATCAGCCAAGATCAATGGCGCGTCTGATGGTCGCACTAGGTCCTACGCTAGGGCGGCGGCGACGCACCAATTCCACAGGTGCTCGTTGGTGGCTGGGGGTAGCTTCCGGTGCTCGCCCGAGGCCGCGCCATCACGAGCAATGCGGCAGGTGCGCACGAGTCTGTCTGGGATGAGACGATCATCCAAGGCGGCCGACCAGGCTTTGCGGTCTGCCCACCCACTTAAATTTCGCCGACACCAGGCGATGTCCCGGGAATTCCTGCTACGGGCTTCGCGGAGTTATTATTCATCTGCCTGGACGCTTCGTCGACCTCCTCGTCGTTCATCTTGGCGTGGGGCACGTACACAGTTGATGCCCGAAGCACACCCACGGAGGCCACTCTGACGTCAAGTACGTTGAACCTCTGTGAAGCATGAACGAAAAGTTTCTGATCTCAACGCTGATACCACAAATGGCCAACACCACAATATCTATACGCGCCCCCACTCCCAACGAATCGATGCCCATCTGCAGTGCCCCGTGCTTCGTTTCGCTCATCTCACCATGTCCCCGCAAGTACAATGGGGTCCCAATGCTGCTCTCCAATTTCTCTCAAGCATCTCTTGATGAAGGGATTAACGTTGTAGTCGTATATAACAGAACCAAAATTGTCGCTGTCTGTCCCGCTGTTCCCGCTGGGGCTGGCGGCGGTGTGGAATCATCTGGAGTAGAAGGAGAAGAATTTGAAAACGTAGATGATGTAGATGACGTCGTAGGCGTAGATAACATGGAAAACGGAAGAATGACGTCCTTGTAGCCTGAGTGCGGTACTCCTCTCAGCTGGAGTTATTGAGGTAGGGGTCGGAATCGAAAGGTGAACGCTGCAGGAGACTCAACATCTCATCCCCAGGGTCGCTGGGAGAAGCAAGCTTTTCGGTCACACTGGGCGCTCTTATTCGCCAGAGGCTTCGATACAATGAATTACGACTGTCAATGCGAGGCGAGAGATCGTGGTGATAACAGTAAATGGCAAGTCCAAGGAATATGCAATGACATCGCTGACAAAAACAAGCGGTCGAGAACTGGACTCCGAAAACGAATGCGACTGCGCTGCCGCTCTGGTGCCACACCAATGCCGCACTGGCCGCACCACACCAACGCTGGACGTGGGCCGCACCGACACGACATCCGTGCAAGACCCGCGCCGAGCCACACCTGCACCGCCAACCTCCAACCCTCCCACCGCCGGGTCAAACGAATCCATAAAAGACCCTGTCCTCGTGTCATCAGCCACTCAGTGCAGTTTCCTTCACACCCTCCTCCTCATCGCTCTCCCCCTCGCCTGGTGTGTTGGGCTCTCGCTCTAGATTCGAGTGCCTTCGTCGTCTCCGAAGACCGAGCCGCCTCCCCGAAGGCTCAGAAGTCGTGCCCCCCCCTCGCAAAAAAGGCAGGCTTCGCGCGTCCTGGAGCGCAGGAAATATCGGGTTCACGCAGTTGTTCTGCTTACAAACTGCGTTGGTTGTGTACAGCTCCTTCACGATGGCCTCTGCGACTCCTCCTCTTCCTGTATCTCCTCTTACCTGTCCATCTCAATCTCCGCATCCTGAAAAGCTCAAACGCTGCACAGGTGCCCCGTAACACCTTGTCTGCAAGGATCCCATGTCATGTTTCAACGCACGTGTGAACGAATCGGGATCCAAAATTGGTGGCTTGTGGCCTGTGGTCTCCCAAATCGTCTCCCGCATAATCTCCCGTGCGGTCTCCCGTATGGTCTTCCTGTGTAGCCTCCCGTAAAAACTTCCGTATGGTCTTCCGTCTGGTCTCCCGTGTGGTCTCCCGCAAGTTCTCTCGCGTATGCTGCCGTATGGTCTCCCATATGGTCTCACGCTGGTGTTCTCCCGTATGCTCTTGCATTCTCTCCCACTCGCTCTTTCGTATGCTCTACCATGTGGTCCCGCTTATTTGCAGTACGGAACAATGCTCTGTACTATTTGAGTATGCTGTTTAGGGCCTTCTGCCAACCCCTTGAGACGCAGGCCTCAAACGGACGCGTCTGCGTCCTTCACGGCAAGTTTCAGTTTGGAGGATGCGGGGGCGACAATTAGTTGGGGAACTGAGTTGGAACAAACACGTGCCAAGGGCCAGAGCGTTTCTGTCCAGTACTCCTTGGGAGGAACGCCTTCCAACATGCCCTCAGGTCCGAATTGGCCGTGGGGACGTCGGAACGGTCAGCACGGTGCATGGAGTGTGTTAACCCTCGCTGGCGCCATGTACTCGCATTGCCTACAAAACAAAACTGGCATGCGGGTTCTCTCTACCACTGCTACCCAGAGAAAGTGCTCGACGGTGGTTCCCCTTGCGCGCCTGACCAGATCCTCCATTGAAAGAGGGGCATTGCACAACTTCCATTCGCATGCTGCTTCGCCCTTCGTCGATTACCACTCTGGTCCACCCAACCGAACCATCACACACTGGACGACGGGGGCGCGGGGTGGCAACCTGCGCATCATCCCCTGTCTCCTCCCTTGCATCCTCTTCTTCCTGCTGCGGATCAGCCATTGTATCTACACCAAGATCGTCCATTCAATCAAGAACTCCAGGCGTATCGAATGAACAAGCTTCGCCAATCGCTCAACATGCTGCGCGGAAGTGAAATGGTCGAAGGCACCTGCTGTTGGCTGGGCTGGCACTGAGCCTAAGTTGGTTGACCGCGGCACTGTTACACAACGGTTGGCCAACAACCAAGATCATACGCTGCGCCCGCGTCCGAAACAAAACTGCTTTCGAAGTCAATGACGTAATGCCACACTTGCGGGGGAAATGGGGGAACGCTTGGGCTGCTGTGACGGGACCGCGGGGCTCGAGCGCCACTGTAAAGAAGCCCGCTGGCGACGCCATGTTTTGTTTAAAGAAGCAATACTCCCTCTGCAAGCGGCGCTACTAAACACCACTATGTGGGCGGGTCGCGTGGCGGGTCGTCGGCGAATCGCGAGGATCGGAAATCAATGTACAGAAGCCCGCCGCAGGCACCGCAGGCGACAATTTTTGGCGAAGTGATACAGGTGAGTCGCGGGCGTGGGCCGCGGGTTGTGGGTCGCGAGTGGGCCGCGGATGTGTCGTGGGGTGGGTCTCGGGGTGGGTAGCGGAGCGTTTGACGACGACAACAAGAATAAGGAGGCCGACTTGGCCAGCCGACCGATTGCATGGGAGCCAAGGCCGCAATATTTGATGTTTGCCTGCGGCCCTGATCAAGTTTTTTTCCCCGAAACTGCCTGTAGCTCTGGAAGGACGCCTTTGGGTAGGATCCTAAAAAGTCAGCTTGTAACTCGAATGGTCTCCAACCAGTCTCCCTGCCGGGCTACGGAGTGCGCCGCTGTCGCCAGCTTCGTGGGCTCCCGCGGGTGCTTCAACGTGTTCGTTTGTCTGTTCGGTCCTACGCATCGTCGCCACATGTGCAGAAAACGGTGGGTCTGTCGAGAGATTATTTCAAGCTGGGCCTTCCACGACTCAGTGAGGCAGGGTGAGGGCGGCGGAGGGAGGAAAGAGTTTCTGAGAAATGAGGATGAAGGAAAGGAGAGGCGGAAATGCAAGAGGGAGGCGGAGATAAGAAAACATGAAGGAGAGACGAGGAAGAGGAAGGGGGGCGGAGGAGTGGAAGGAGAAGGACGCGGAACGGAGGACGGACGAGAACCGAGAGCAAGAGAAAGAGAGAAAAGGGAGAACGAACAGGGAGGGATAGGGGAAAAAAGGAAACTTACTCTACGCAAGATGCTGGGACAAGAAGGAGCGGAGGAGGATGGGCGAACTTGAACAAAAGGACTTGAGTGAATTCCTCGTTCGTTTTCGAGTTGTCTCTGGAGGCCCTAGGGCACGCAAGATCGCCCCAAGAGGCCTCCAAGAGTCCCCCAAGAGCTCCAGGGAAGTTTGAAAAGGGATGGCGAGGCCCAACCAGCAGCGTCCCCTAAGGCGAAGCCCATATCCAACTCTGCCGTACCGTACTAGCGATAGACCCAGAAGTAAGAGGTCGTCGCGGGAACGACGGGCCATGTCAATCGAATATGTTTCGGTCCCGATAGCAAGTGGCGTGCCTCGCGACGAGGCGCAATCATAGATTGGCGGCCGGCCGCCTGAGTACAAACGGCCGCGGGCAAACGCTCGCTGTCTCTCGCTATTGCCCCAGCTCCCGTTAGAGTCGGGGGGGGAGGAGACGAAGCGTGAGTCCGCCGCCCGCTATACAGTAAACACTATCTACACAAAGATGGCAGCAACAGGCGGGTTCAAAAGGAAGGTTGGCCCGCGCGCAAGTGCCCTTGCACGCAAGTTGCCGTGCGAGCAGATCGCCCTGCAGGCGCATATTTCTCAAGCGGCCTCAGACGGCGTTGTCTGGCCAGCCCGGTGCGGAGCATGACGTTTTAAGTCGCGCTTGAAGGATTACGTTCCTCCCATGTTCTGTCAGAGCATATCTCTCTCGATGCTCCTTTTGGTGTGATCGTCCGCAGTCATGTCGCGAGTGTCTCACCACAGTATACTATGCCCAATACCTCGCTCCATCATCCGTCGTATTGAACTGATGTGTCCCGAAAGATGGCACTCGGTTGGTTTCGTCGGGTCTTTCAAAGATTTGAAGACATATTCCGCATCTACGGTCAAAGTGACCTTAACGCCCAGGCCGCCCATCTCCAGTGCATCGTTCAACTGAGTGGGTGTCAGCGGCCCTGCGTGGAGTTCGCGCAGAGTGACGATCGTGGGATAGCAGTCCTCCAGTTTGCGCGCCGCTGCTAGCGTTTCTGCCCAGTAGCCCGAGCGGGAATGCAAGCGGCGAGACTTGCAGTGCGCATCGATAAGATGGACGACCGGCGCACCAGCAGGCGTCCTTCGTTGCCGTGGCAGGCTTGCCCATCGAATACCATAGCCTTTGGCCTCGTCATCAGCATCTCCACCCAGGCGTCGAGAGCCGGAGTCGCTGCGCAGGTCGACCTCGCCCGTTGGAGTCGTCGATCGATAGATGATCTTCTTGGGGGAGGCCTGCAACGTCCTGGCAATCACGCTCAGTCGTCGCACCTGTACGTCGGTCGCTTCTTGGACACGTTGTAGGAAAACAACATTTGCCATCCACCACACCTGTGTGATTAATGCGTAAGCCAAAGCGCCTCTGACGCTGACAAGCATGCCAGTGACCATCTCGGATGCCTTGGCGTCGGCGTCTGCGCCAGTGAGTTCAGGATGTTGTATGGGGCGGAGCTGTTTGATGTATTTGTCTTGATCAAGTGCAACGTTGCCGTCCCCATCTGCTGCGCATCTCACAGCGCAATTGGTATATGTATGTTGAGTTTACACATCTACCATAAGTATCCTCAACACACTTGACGCACCTGTCGATGGTGTCCTCAGTACCGGCCATATTAATATCATCAACAAGTTTGGCTGTGAGAAGGTCGTTGCTTGTCTCGAACTCCTCGTCGTGGGGCGCGGGTCTGAGGCCGAGCCCTCTCGCGGTCTTGCTGAGCTTCAATGAGAAGGCTCTGGGTGCATCCTTTGTGCCAGTACCTGGCTAAGGGCACTGCAAGCAATGCTTCGACTCATCGCAGCGCTCGAACCCTGGAAAGGGTCGCAGCACCGATGCCGATCCAGGCGGCAGTGTAAAGCACGCCACGCGTTCCTTTTCACTGGTTGCTTCAGCAAGTTCCTGATGGGCCAGCCCCTCCAGGGAAGCCATGTGGATATCAAGGGGGGCAATGACCCATTGCTTCTTCCAAGCTGCCGCGTTTGCGAGTAATCTCTGACTTGGCCGCCGCGCCGTCTCTGAGGACATTTCCACATCGAAGGCTTCGATGCCCATGAAACGCCCAAGTGCCAGGCGCAATCCAACGGTCCGTTCCATCTCGCACTTTTCGTCCCTTACGAACTTTCCACTTATATGCGCATCGCGAAGTCCTGAAGTTTGACACCTTTGATATATACTGCATTCTGAAACGCTCGTTGTCAAGCCATGTCTTGAGTTCAGTGTAAAGGGCCTTAGATACCTTGACTGGATTCGCCTGAACGTCGGCCTTCGCGAGGAGGTCGTCCTCCAAGATGACCGCAGCTCGTTTGGCGGCAGCGGTCGCATATACTCGCATCGTGGTCACGCGGTCGAGGTCTAGCAGCGCTGTTGCTCTGACAGGACTACCTTGACATGTCTGCAGTAAAGCGGGACTCTATATATATTGAACGGCTTCGTCAGAGTCCAATCCGTAAGGATCGCCGTCGTCCGTGGAGAACAGTGGGACATGAGATGTCTCCATGGTGTCGGAGTCGCGTGGATGGCCCCACGTGGGCAGGTCCCCCCGCTGTTCCTAAGCTACTGTGACCTGCGCATTGTTGTCGGTGATCATCTGCGTGGATGCAGTGTAGAGGTCGTCTGGTGAAGTTGCCTCCAGTAGCCCCCCTTTCCCCCTGTAGTTCTGAGCACCGCGCGTCCATGACATGCGCCTCAGGTCCGCCTCCGATTCCTCATGAATCATGGGGGGGCCGTCCGTCCTCCCGTGGTGGTTCGGCTCCAAGG